GTGTGGGCACTGTTCCCCCTGTTCCCACTGTCCCTGCCAGGCTGGGCAGGTGAGGGGCTCCAGGAGCTGTGGGCTGGGGAAGTTTTCCCCGGCTGTTTGTGACTGGCAGCTGCTCCGGGGTTTCTCCATGAGGGCTCCAGGGGCTGCCACGAGGGACACGATGCCACAGTCCACGGAGGGTTTGTTTCACTGCTACAAGAGAAATGTTTGGTAGCCAAATTTCCTATATGGCACTTTCCAACTATTCTGCCTTTTTTTTTTCCCACCCCCCATGACAACGCAGCAATTTGTCATTCAACTCTGTTTCCCAACATAACCACTTTTAATTCACACTACTGGCTGTTAGCTTTATTTAAAATATTATGAGACTTTCAATAATGAGATAAAAAGTATTTCAGAAAAAGAGTTTGTAAAGCCATAGCATGTGGCAGAATTTGTCCTCCTATGTTACAGAGCTTAATCCCAAACCTTGCATTATTCTTGGATAATTTAAACCTTTTTAAGTTGGGTACAGCCCTTGATAGCTGTTGGACAAAAGCTGATGACATCTGTAACCGCTAGATAGCTCTCTTCTCTTTAACAACCAGAGTTATTATAATCTATTTAGGAAAAAAGTCAAACATTCACCATGTACTAGATTGTTCTACATTGTTCCTAAATTAATGCCCTACAATTTAAACCCTAATTCTTGTACCATCCATATCATCCTCATCCATATCATCCTTATCTATTTGCCAGCTCAGAGGTTAAATGAAGCAACAATTATGTTACATTCCCTTAAATCATAATAATTTGAAAAAGTAAAACACATGGGGTAGTGAAAGAAGGAGATGCAGTCTTGAGATATCTCAGACTACACAAATATTGTCAAATAACCATTATTGCCATGTTAAAATAAGCATTCAACCCCCAAACTCCCAGACCTGAATATTGAAGCAATTATTTCTCTTCTAACGTGGTTTTTGAAAACTGTGACAAAAATTCAGAATAAGAAAGTCCTAATAATCAAAATGCACATTTGCCTTGGGTTTAACTTACTTTCTTCTCTATCACTTCTCCTGTAGGAGCTTTAATGGAGAAATCCATAAATGACTGGCTCAGAAACAGAAAAGCTCCATTGGAAAGAATGCCAAAAACCTGGCCAGAGGCAGGACTTCCGTTGGGAACTCAATATACATGTGCACAAAACACAGGATAACCACTCCACCTGCAAAGGCTACGTAGGCAATTCTGTAGTAGTTCAAGTAGTTTCCATTCTTACAGTTTAGTTGCAATGTGCTTTGGGGAATGGGATTGCCTCAATTCCTGCAATTTAACCACTCATAACTAAGGTCGTCAGCAGCACCTGAACATTTCACTTAGAAATTCCATCCATCTTCATTAGTAAACAAAAGTGGTTTTTCGCCATTTCAAATACAATCCTAAATAGTGAAATAGTGGCTTAAAACTTGCAATTATTACTCACTGGGGTTCTGCAAACACTGGTGTCTCAATTATCTTTTTCCACAGAACCACTAATAAGACCATTGTCTATCTCTATACAAATAACAGACAGTAAGGACCTCATCAGAAATGAGCATGTGTATTATCCAGTTTCAACACTTCATTTTGCAGACTTACTCCCTTCCTGTGTAATTTGCAGTGATGTTTAGCTGGCTTCCCAAATGGCTCAGTGTCCACTTTGCCTAACTAGCTTCAGTTTTTTCCAGAATTTAATTGTTCCAGCAAAATCACTTTGCTGATATATAGCCCAAACCTCTCTTTTTCTGTGTTTCTATGTGAAACCACATTTCTGAGTAAATACAGTGACAGAGACACAGCAAAATGCCTGCAGAGGAGAAACAACATCTCCAACAGCTGAACTGAGAGAAGCTAATTCACTAATATTTC